CAATGGCTATTTCTGGACTCTGTGTTTAGAGTCAATCTTCAAATTTTGAACTCTGAAATCTTCACCACACTCTCCACAGTATAAAGGACAGAATTCTGGTATACTGTGTTTTCATCTCCAGTCCCTAACCTAAAAGAAACCCAAAACAGGACGTTTTAGTGAACGCAAATCTATCCACGAACAATACTAGTAATCACAGGTATTTGAAAATAAATACAATTGAGCTAAGATAAATTATTACTTACTAGTTTTATTCTTGATCTGTTTTCCTTGTAATTTTAATTTTTATTTGATATTTTGACACTAGTGCGAAAAATCTACATCAAGTACTCACCAGCGCGGCCCAGTGGAATTATTCACAATTATTAACTATATTAGAACGTGTCGCCATCCAGGTTTTAGTAGCGACACTAGCAAAATCAGTAGATTTTTCCAGCTAGCAATCTTTTTTCCAATATAGTTTTAATTTTGCCCGACGGAGTACTCCACTAGTTTATTTTTAATTTCGAACGTATTAATTTATTCCTAATAATTTTCCAAACCAAGATTAAATAAAATGTATTAAAATCATATTATATGCGGTGTTTTTATTATTATTTTGTCCTTTAAAAAAAATACAGGGGAACTATTGGTGCCATTTGGTATTTAATCAAAAGTTAAAACGATTATTTTTTATTTATCACGGTTTAAAAAAAAATAAGATATAAACAGTGGCGTGGAATACAAGAGGTATTTCATACAGAGTAAAAAAAAAAACATTTAATATTAAAAACAGCTAATAAAACATTTAGTATTATTACAAAAAAACAATAAGATATTTTCATTCCTGTTTAATCATTCAAAAAGAGTGGATTAAGCAGTGGCGCCCACAATAACAATAAAAAAAAAGGAGAATAATTTCGTAGTATTTTTTTTTTAATATATTATATGGGGGAAAACAACTTTTGAATAACAATAAAATAAATAAAGAAACATTAGCGAGTTACGACCACGTACATACCCACAAAAGCCCTGAGTGAGAGTCACGAAAATTCAAAAATAAAGCAATCAACACAAAATATTTCTCACACAATACCCCATAACAATATATACTTTCTAGAATATACTTTCAAAGTATATTCTAGGTATTTTCTAAGAACATTCTAAAAGGATATACTAAAAAGAACTTAAACAGAACGTTCTTGATATATTGATAGAACATTGATGTTATGTGGGTTTACGCATTAACACTGCCGATGAGTCAAGTTTCTTGTGAAAGAGATCTTTCTTGGCACTGAGGAATAGGCTTAGAAATCTTGTTTCTGATGAAACAATTGAAGTTTTAATGATTATGAATACAGAAAAATCCTTGTTAAATCGTGTTGATAATCAAAAGGTTATTGAAACCTTTATGTTAGATTCTAAATACAGTGTTTATTATTTTGTATTAGGCATACTCGTGCTTTCACAGCTTACATGTGCTATCACTATGCTCTCTGGTTTCGTCACTGATATTCGATTTGGCTAATATTCTAGAGTACGATTCAACTTAGAAAAAGCCACGGGCGTCATCAACTAGTCATCGTCTGCCTCACTTTAAAATATTCCTTCTCCCTTGCTCCAGATCGATATACCAGTGGCGTAGGCTCTTATTTAAATAAGAATTAAAGCAGTTTCCCAACAAAAAACATTTATTGGATTAAAAAGTTAAATTTTAATGATTTAAACATTTGTATATTACCTAAATAACTAAACTAAAATAACATTACATATATTTTTCGACTTTAGACTTGCAAAACATTCAGTGGGAAGTAAATAAAAATAGCAACACAATTTTGTAATTTAAGATTTTTATTACAATTAAAATAATAGTTATTTATGCAACTAGTGCAAAAAGTGAAACTAGAGGAGTACATCCTAGTTCGTCCGTTAATGAACTATTACACTCTGTTTTTAAACTAAGAGGAGCGATTTGAATTTAAGTTGGCAATTCTGTAGCCTTCTGATTGGTCAGATTACAGTCAGTTTCACATATTACTTTTTAGCATAAACATCAGCTAATAATTGGTATTGTTGACAGTTCTGACATTTTATAATTTGATATCTCATCCATTACTTAGGTTTTTACTTTATTTCGTAAATAATAGTTCTTCAGTAAGCAATTGTATTGAAAATCTACAATTATGGATCCTTCTACACTGAGTACTATTAAAGGTAGCAATTCCTGAAAAGCCTTACAAGAAAGGGAAGACACCTTATTATTTTACATTCTGATTCTGAAGGTTTTGTAGAAAATGCATTATTGGTTTTTAAAGGTAAAAAGATGGAAGATTACCATGAAGAGATGAATTCCGAAGTATTTTAGAAAAAAATAATTTTATTACTGATTTTTTAAAACTAAAAATTGATGAATTTCTAACCAAAATGATTAAAATGTAACTGAATATTCAAGCAAATTTTATTTATTAGAATAGAATAAAACTATTTACAAAATTGTTATAACATGTAAAACACCATCTACTACTTTAGAGACAATCTTAATTTGGCACAATGAGTTAACATTACTTTCACAAAAAATATTTTAAAAATACTTAAAATTGATACATAGGTATGTGTGAATAGTTCACTTTAAAAAATATATGTTGACATGTAGTGTTATGAAAATGTTGGTTCCAGTTTTCAAAACAAATTCTGACTCATAGGCCTGTAAACTTTTGAATGCCTTTATTTGCCCTCTAGCGCATTACCCATGGGTTAACACTAAATAAGCCATAATATCCACATTACTCATAGAAGAGATACCAGTTACTGTGTGATCCACTTGTCATTCACTGATTAACTTTTACTTTTTATACCTATAACAAATATATCCTTAAAAATGTAAACAGATCTTTATATTTTATACTAACCTGGCTACATCTGGATATTCCATTAACAATTTTCTTAAATATTTAATATTCAAAAAAAGTATTTCTGACATCAATCAACAACCATATTGATATTAATTTGACAGTGACACTTCGTTTTAGACACACATTTCAGATCACAATAATGTGAAATTTGCGAGCGTTGTCTGGGACCAATTAAAAAATTACTTCTATGACATTTATTCGTTTCTTAACCGCTCATTGGCCGTTCACCGACTAAGGCCGATAAAGATAATTATTTCATAAATTTTGAACACGACTATATTTCGAAACTCGCTCTTAGTAACAAATCTAGTTACTTTTCCCTGTGTAAATGCATCTTTTCAATTCGCTCCTAGTTTAAAAACAGTATAGTACTCTCGCTGTCTTCACTTTCTTCCGATAAACCCGTATTTTTGTTCGTAAGTAAAAGCTTGGCAACGCCGAAGTTTGGCTCATAATAATAAGGGATCCATGTTTACGCGATAGCTTCTGTTCGAATTATATTCTGGACCATGCGGCACTCGTTCAGCGTTGCTAAATTATTAAGCAATTGTATCTCTATATTAGAAAAACGAAAAAAATCGCCAAAACGCCACTGACGCTTAAATGGGATGGACCTGAGAGAGAGGCAAATTATTGCGGCCTTTGTCAGGTATGATGTGTGTGGCTTTTTCTTAGTTGAATCGTACTCTACCACCATATCTTCTAATAGAGGACTTCTATACAAGGGAAGTGCAACCAACTTGACAAAATAAAATTGACACTAATGACATAAGAAATCGGGTCACATAAAGAGGCTGTTTTTTAGTTTGCTTTTTGGTTTTTCCTATCTACTTTCATGCCATTTGCATACCTTGTTGTACCCGTAACGTGAAAAGGACTTTTTATTTTAGGGTATTTTACATTTAAAGGTTGAAACATTTTGTCATTGTCAATTATGTTGATGATAGAACACAGGCGTAACCATAGATGGGCACAACGTAACTAGTATTGTATGTTGGTTGTATATTGTATAGAACTTGTATTCGTTGCAGCAGCATTTTGCAATCGACATAAATAAGTAAAACCAAATGACAAAAAATGTTTCAAGAAAGCAGGGGAAACACAAATAGACTATTAACAACAAAAAATAAAATGCAATGCTACGCTTATGTTTTGACATTATCGACAGCTAATATTGACAAATGTTTTCAACCTTTAAATGTAAAATACCCTAAAATAAAAAGTCTTTTTTACGTTACGGGTACAACATGGTATCTAAACGGCATAAAAGTAGATAAGAAAAACCAAAAATTTAACAAAAAAACAGCCTCTTTATGTGACCCGATTTCTTATGTCATTAGTGTCAAAAAAATTTGTCAAGTTGGTTGCACTTCCCTTGTATAGAAGTCCTCTATTCTACTCGACGACTGGCTGTTGCCGTATTGCCATTTTATTAACTTATATACTAGTCGTACGCCTAACACGAAAAAATAAGTAATGTGTATTAACTTAATTAGACTTTAGATGAAGAATATATGCTATATCTACATTTGACATAATAATAGTTTTATTATTTTGTTTTTATTTTTATTTTTCATAAGTTTTAAATAGGTCAATATCTGTAAAGATATTTTTTAATTTAATTAGTTTAGTTTGTTACACTTTCAGTTACTTAATGATGTATTCATTTTAATATGTAGGTCTTATGGTTTTTTTATGTAAATTTTATAAAAGTGTAGTCAAAAAAAATACATGTTGTTGATACAATGCATAATTTTAAATATTATGGTAACATTTCATAGAAAACACCAATGTACACCACACCGAGTTTTTACATAGGAAGGGGGCCCCTTGAGGTAACTTACTTGGACCAGTCAATAATTGTCATTAATTGTTCGATTTAAAAAATTCTGAAACCATGAACAGTCATACTGCTGAATTCTCCACAAAATTACCATTTCAATAATGAGCCACACATAGTACATTTCCTAGTTAAAATTATTAAAGTGGGAGATAGGTAGGGAGGGAGGGAGGGAGGGAGGGAGTTGACATATGAAAGACGTCTATATCGGAAAAAATGTTCAATATATTTAAAAACTATGCTCGAAAGTGTTAAATATTCTTTTTTAGAGTGCAAACATACCAATGGCAATATGGAGTGGTAAATGGTATGAGGAGCCACTAAAAACTCAATCTATGATGTTATTAATGATGCTGAGATGTTCCAGACCATTGACTATGGATATAGGACCCTTCAATACCATGTCTATAAATACTCTTATAGGGGTAAGCAGATGTATAACTTTTTTATTTTAGCAATTCAGAAGAATATGGTCATGCATATTTACGCTACTATTAGATACAAAACTTTAATAGCACAAAATAACACAATGCTGCAGTATCGGTATTTTAGCTATACAGTATATGTTAAACAACGCATCAAGCAAATTTAAGATGAAGAATTATATTTGGACGTGAGTGGCATAAAGGAAGGTATATTGCGGTCCGCAGTCGGTGATGTAATATTTTATTTCCGTCTATTCAATAGCATTGTTTTTCTATACTGTTCTTCTAGAGTCAGTTTTGTAAAGTTAAAGTACTGTAATATGTATCTAATGGCTTGACCTATTCTGTATATTTTTAGATGTGAATACAATTTTAAATATTTCCGTTTTTTAGATTCTTAAAGCCACATACTCCTACAGTATGCTGATCTACAAAGGAAAGAATAAGTAAAAAATATATTTGCTGATAAAATGTAGACTTTCTGATAAAAATGTTTATAAATATACATTATTGAATTTATTTTCTTTGTTATTTACCAACCCAGTCATCCCGTCATTAATAGGTATCTATCTATATGCCGGTCAGTTTCTTTCTAAATAGAGGGTGGCTATGGAAATTTAGCACTTTTTACTGTTTAATATTTAATTAATATCATTTTAATGTTAATTATAGTATATTACATTATTACGAGTGTGGAAAATCACTTTTCACACAAGTGATGTACAATATTTTTCCTACGACCACAAAATAATGTCATCAAAAAATGTAAAACCAAGGTTATTATTACTATAATAATTAAAAAGTATTTAAAAAAATCAACAATAATCGTATTTATTCAATTTTCATATGTTCTAAACAAAAAAAAACTAAACAAAAAATAAAAAAAAACAAAAAAAAATTCTGTTCCGCCAGGATTTGAACGCGGTCAAAAAATAGCAAAGTTGATAAGTTCGACGTCCTAACCACCTGAGCTAATAGCCCTTGTGTCAATGGCATGATCTAATCGGTTATGTATTTAACCAGAATAAAGAGCAAAAATTATTTTAATAATAATTGTTAAAGATAAATATCTAGGATCTAATTTACAACAATTTCAATAATTTAACAATTATATCAATTTTAGTATTAATATGGATATTACATAGATCAAAATAGAAATTAGGTGTTTGACATTTTGTGACAACTACTGCGGAAAGTAGCATATTCTCACTCGGGTGGAAAGTAAAGTCTTATTCATACGCGTGTGATATAGGGCACTTTCCATAGGACTATATAGTGTGATATGTGTCACTTTCCTAAGTGATCGTAGGAAAACATTTTTTCGTGATTATACATATGCTGTGACATGTAATTTTTATAATTTAAAGCAGCGTTGTCTTACATAAAAACTATCGGAACTATCGGTCCATTAGAAACCAAAATCTGTTTGGTATTTTAAAGACAAAATCAAGTATTTTCTTTAAATAATTTAGTTACAGTAAAAATTACAATATGTTCAAAGTATAATCCAAGTTACAGTTTTGTCTATATAACTGGTTAAACATTATGCAAGGGCTATAGTGATACAGCCCCATAGTACTACGCATAAACCAATTTATATTGTTCTCTCAGTCAGGTCTAATGAAGTACTTTGAAGATGAGTACTAATAATCTATTATTATGCTCTTCGATCCATTAACCATTATTCAATAGAACATTCGCTCTTTTAACTCAAACATAGATAATCTAAAGATCCTAATTAAGGACGACAATCCAGGCATAATCCTACTTAATGAAACTTGGATGAAGGAAGATTATAGGTTAAGGTGTAGAGGTTACCAAACATTGAGAAATGATAGATTTGATGGCTAAGGTAGTATAGCCTGTTTAATTAAAAACAATTTAGATTTTCAGCCTCTTCCACTAGCTTACTCTCTTGATCTGCCATCTCAAGTTCAAGCCATCTATCTTCCCCATTTCCAATTAAACTTAGTGAATATTTATTGCCAAGCAGATTACCTTATTTCCAAAAATAATTGGTCTTACTTTATTCAAACATTTAACAAACCTCTTTTAATTGTGGGGGACTTAAATTGTAAACATGTTTGAATGTGTAAATAGCTCAAACGGTAAAAATATAATTAATTCTTTAGTTTCTTTACAATTAGTGTTGTTAAATATTTCTCGTACATCGAGCGCCCGACGCTTTTTTCACAATAATACTAGTATTTTCCATTTATCATTGTTTTAAAATTATTTAAAAAATTATTTTTAACTTTTTAGTTTGATATGCTTTAAAAGCGTGTTTTTTAGTTTTTTAAAATATATTTATTTAAAGGACCACGCACTTTTCTTATGCAAACGGGAGTACCGTCAAAATGTCTGAATTTTTGATATGTTAAATAACTTGATGTCCCCATCAAAAGTGTCCATGGGCCCAATCGTATCCTATGACTAGATTTTGAGATACAGGGTTTTGAAATTAGAAATCCCTAGTTCTTTAAAATGGACACCATAAATCACCCTTAAATATTTTTGGAAGTTTTTTGCTCATTCTGTGTAGTCAAAATATATACTTAACTACTATAATTAAAATATTGTACCTTACATGGTGATTAATGATTCGGCAAATCTTTTTTGGTCAAAGTAGGTATTCCCACCGAACAAAAATAGCTAAAATACAGAAAAAAAAAATATATATCATCGTCAAAGTCTCTCAATATTTGATATCGTATAGTACTCGATGTACTCGTTCAAAGTTCTTATTGGTAAAATTAGATACTATGACTAGTTTTCCAAATATGTACCAAATATATGAATTTTAAACAATAAATATATACTGACATAAGTAGATATTTTCAAGAGAAATATCTTGTATTAAATATTTTGACATACTGTTTTAGATTAAGAATATACCCCTTGTACTATATGCAAAGGGAAAAAAATTCGTACTTACAGGGTGATCGCTGTTGAATATGTAAGTTAAATCAACAAAATGTTGAAATTGTTGCCAAAAAATAGAAAATAATTATTGCTCATCAAAAAAATAGTATAAGTCCATATACAGGGTCATACTTTATTTCGGTACAAAAAGTTGATTATATGGTAGGTCTCAGTAGGATGTGCAGAAATGATTTATGATCGGATTACAGGTTTATTTGGCTCGACTATTGTCATAAGTGCCTCTTTGTATTGTATATTTAAATAAGATTATGAGCCCCATTCACGCCACCAATGAGGTAAATAATAATAATAATAATAATAATAATAATAAACCTTTATTCACACATAAAAAATAGAATTACATAAAAAATTTCAGACGCATAAATAATTTGTAGAATAAAGTATTTAGCGATAAGTACTACTGTACTTGTTTCGCTGTAATATAACGAATAATAAATATTAAAATATCCACATATATAAACACACATACATACACATAAAGGTAAATATATACATACATACATATACAATAATATATATATATATATATATATATATATATATATATATATATATATACAACGGAAGAGTTAATTGGATTTTCTCCTTGTTGAGTTTCAAAAATAGTAATTTAACATGATTTAAAAACAAATACATGAAATGGGCAAAATAGGCCTGCAAAGGCACTTTGTAAACAATCTCACTTGTATCGATGTGACGTTATGCGCGAATTCAATCTGGCTTAATTTTGTTAATAGATTGGCATTCTATTTTAAATATACAGTTCACCGGGAATAGATTATTTAAATATACACGGATCGGGAAAACAAGTACGAAAAAATTCACTGGCTGCTGGACTAGTACTGTATCGAAGGAATTTTTATGAATGAAACAATATACGACCCTCCACAATTGCGGTCTACTCTACTTCCGCTGTTGTCAGACATTATTTTTTTTTTGGACAATTTAAAGACCTAACAGTAATTCAAGCAAATGCAATAACATTACTACAGTTAAAAACATCGCAAACTTGGCATCAATATTTTAATTTTATCCAAATATTGCATTTCTGTCGAGGATCATCCGCGTTGACTTCAGAAATTGTGTAATCTGTATTCGTTATATATATATATATATATATATATATATACATATATATATATATATATATATATATATATATATATATATATATATATATATATATATATATATATATATATATAATCTATAGTTAAAAGCACGTAAACTTGGCATCAATGTTCAATCCGATTATTGAGTTTCTACCGCGGACACCACCGTTCATTCTTCAAAAATTTTGTAAATAATCCTATCTGTCTTGGTTATATATCTATGGTTACTACATAATATAGTTCATTAGTGATTTAAAAGCAAATGACGTTATATTTATAGAATAAAAAATCACTCATAATATTCAAATATTTATACCTATATCTTTATATTTTGGGCTCGAAGACTAACTATTTTATGTTTTTGGCACTGAATAGTTTTCTTAAGAATATTAAAACCTTTTTGCTTTTTTGCGATACTCCATATCATCAGTATATCTTTGAGGTTCATTTTGTTTAAATCTAAAATTAATTAAGTACATAATATGAAAATTTGGCTACGGTCGATATTAGGGACAGTAATTTTGTCACTTTTTCCATAAAGATTAAGTAAAACCATAATATTTTTACACTTTTTAATTTTCTATACGTGCGTGCACTAACCTAATTAAAGCAACAAATATTATTAAAACACATTTGTAAGCTAAAAAATTAAGAATATGCATTTATTCACGACATTCTCAGGTAGCCATATTGTTTTTTGTTATAAATAAATATATTCATGTAATACCGTTCTATATTATTTTTTGTTTATGAATAATATGACAACTGATATTTTTATTTCTATAAATGTGGAGTTGTCAAACATAGTAAAAGAACGTACATAACAGGAATGACAGTGGCTGTTTTTTCAAGAGCTCTAGGCCAGATGATAAAACCAGACTATAAATGTATTTATTTGAGACTTTTCATTTCAATTATTCAATTTGAGCTGTGTCCAGGCCGTTGGAGTCTATGCCGGTCGGCGTAGCCAGGTATGGGTTGATGTTTTTTGGTGGCGGCGAAGCCGTCACCCTTCGATATGTCGTTGCTTCGTTTTCTTGTTGCATATTTATGGGCTGGTATGCGCAATCGCAAGAAATTATGTAAAAAAGTTTACGTTTTTAATTCAATTTGAGCTGTGTCCAGGCCGTTGGAGTCTATGCCGGTCGGCGTAGCCAGGTATCGGTTAATGTTTTTTGGTGGCGGCGAAGCCGCTACTATATGTTTTCTTGTTGCATATTTATGGACCGGTATGGGCAATCACAATTTTCCATTAACTACTAATTTTATCACAATCCGGCAACGTTGCAATTATATTTTCCAAATTTGACAGAAAGTATCGAGTTTCCATGTTTACAGTCGTCAAAATACTGATTTTTAAAGAAATTAAATAATTTTTTTTTGCTTAAATAATGCATTTTCACAATTTTTTTTTAAATGTACCATTTAATATACCCTCTTTCTGATAAATAATAAATTTC